GGGGGAGCGAGCTATTCTAGTGGTTGGAGCGCGGGACTTTGGTGCCTGAGGTCCCGGATTCAAATCCCGCCAAATCACTAATTGATTTTATCTAAGTGATAATGCCGCAACCCCTAGGTCTAGCCTGAAGTAATGTGAAAAACAATCCCTGGCTCTTGCCTAGCGTCCAAGAAAAAAAAAAGAATTGTTTTGTGGTATTCCATTGCATCATTTTCAAATACACACCAAGTAACGAAGTACAGTATCTCTTTTGAATGTGTGTCACCAATTATAAAATAAAAACATAAATATAGCTGTAAACCATCCTACTTTTACAGTTTTCATTGTATATTACAGCTTTTGTTGCTGCTAGTTCAAATTATCTGTTGTCATAAATGAAAAAAAAAAATAAATAATAGTGCTGCACCCTGTTGGTAAACCTTATAACTTTTAAATGCTATTGAATATCATAGAGCCAACATGTCTAGTTGAAACAGCTGTCAAAATTCTTTAATTACTTTTAAATATGAATACTTATGAGGTTAACATGGGAAATTCCAGAGCCACTGGGGCGGAGATAACAATATAATCGGAAATATGAATAATTATCATAATGCCAAATTTCAGCCCAATCCAACCAGTAGATAATGCACGATTGAACTTCAAACAAACAAACCAACAATCAAACAAACACATAAACTTTCACATTTATAATATTAATATAAGTATGATAATTTAGTTAAATGTTTTAATTTTGTTATGGTTTGATAGTTAAATTTTATCTTTGATAGTAACTCTATAGTTATTCAGTATGTGCTTTTGAAAAAGAGGGGTTAACTACTGGAAAACTATTTTACTTTTGGATGAGTCCAAATATATTAAACCCCAATCACAGTACACATGTGCACTCAGCAACTTTTAAACGGACAGCTGTATGTTTCATGCTCACGTGTTGGTACGCCTAAAACTTATATATTTTATACACCTAATAAAAAAAATATAAAAAAACATTGTTTACCCACTGGCATCGGAGTAAAATAATTATTCTACTTTTTTATACATTTGTTATTATTTATCTCAAACAACAAATTACCATTTAAAATAATAGTTGTTAAGCGCAGCAACGCACGCCAGATAACTGCTAATAGTACTTAAATGCGCCAACTTAACATTCTTTAGCTCGATCCCACAAAATAACTACCCCATAAACACCCCACAATCCCTCATAAAATTACAACATGAAATCAAGTGAATATTCCTTATCATTTAAACATATTTTTCCAACCGCATTCGTTTATAGTAATTATTTGTCCAGTTGTATACCATGGATTAACGAGTAGACTCCCTTATATTATGGTCATATTTAAGTCAACTTTCTCCAGTATTCATGTTATAAAAGTAACTGGTGAAATGTTAATTTTATCACAATACTTTCAAAAAACTGCGAAGCTCTATTGTATAGATCCATTCGCATAACGGTTTACTAACATTTTGGCCAGTACCAAGCTGGATTTATTTAATCAAATACCATATGTCTCACAATCAGAATCAAACTACGAAATACTTGCAATGAAAGTTAGTGACTTGTCAGTGAGCTTTGGTAGTAAGGGGCAGGGATAGGCAATCCAGGTACACGCTCGCCACGCCACAGGGCGACGCCTGCTACTAGCATGCTACAGTGACTTGTCAGTGAGCTTTGGTAGTAAGGGGCAGGGATAGGCAATCGAGGTACACGCACGCCACGCCACAGGGCGACGCCTGCTACTAGCATGCTACAGTGACTTGTCAGTGAGCTTTGGTAGTAAGGGGCAGGGATAGGCAATCCAGGTACACGCTCGCCACGCCACAGGGCGACGCCTGCTACTAGCATGCTACAGTGACTTGTCAGTGAGCTTTGGTAGTAAGGGGCAGGGATAGGCAATCCAGGTACACGCTCGCCACGCCACAGGGCGACGCCTGCTACTAGCATGCTACAGTGACTTGTCAGTGAGCTTTGGTAGTAAGGGGCAGGGATAGGCAATCCAGGTACACGCTCGCCACGCCACAGGGCGACGCCTGCTACTAGCATGCTACAGTGACTTGTCAGTGAGCTTTGGTAGTAAGGGGCAGGGATAGGCAATCCAGGTACACGCTCGCCACGCCACAGGGCGACGCCTGCTACTAGCATGCTACAGTGACTTGTCAGTGAGCTTTGGTAGTAAGGGGCAGGGATAGGCAATCCAGGTACACGCTCGCCACGCCACAGGGCGACGCCTGCTACTAGCATGCTACAGTGACTTGTCAGTGAGCTTTGGTAGTAAGGGGCAGGGATAGGCAATCGAGGTACACGCACGCCACGCCACAGGGCGACGCCTGCTACTAGCATGCTACAGTGACTTGTCAGTGAGCTTTGGTAGTAAGGGGCAGGGATAGGCAATCGAGGTACACGCACGCCACGCCACAGGGCGACGCCTGCTACTAGCATGCTACAGTGACTTGTCAGTGAGCTTTGGTAGGTAGTAAGGGGCAGGGATAGGCAATCGAGGTACACGCACGCCACGCCACAGGGCGACGCCTGCTACTAGCATGCTACAGTGACTTGTCAGTGAGCTTTGGTAGGTAGTAAGGGGCAGGGATAGGCAATCGAGGTACACGCACGCCACGCCACAGGGCGACGCCTGCTATTAGCATGCTACAGTGACTTGTCAGTGAGCTTTGGTAGTAAGGGGCAGGGATAGGCAATCGAGGTACACGCACGCCACGCCACAGGGCGACGCCTGCTACTAGCATGCTACAGTGACTTGTCAGTGAGCTTTGGTAGTAAGGGGCAGGGATAGGCAATCCAGGTACACGCACGCCACGCCACAGGGCGACGCCTGCTACTAGCATGCTACAGTGACTTGTCAGTGAGCTTTGGTAGGTAGTAAGGGGCAGGGATAGGCAATCGAGGTACACGCACGCCACGCCACAGGGCGACGCCTGCTACTAGCATGCTACAGTGACTTGTCAGTGAGCTTTGGTAGTAAGGGGCAGGGATAGGCAATCGAGGTACACGCACGCCACGCCACAGGGCGACGCCTGCTACTAGCATGCTACAGTGACTTGTCAGTGAGCTTTGGTAGGTAGTAAGGGGCAGGGATAGGCAATCGAGGTACACGCACGCCACGCCACAGGGCGACGCCTGCTACTAGCATGCTACAGTGACTTGTCAGTGAGCTTTGGTAGTAAGGGGCAGGGATAGGCAATCCAGGTACACGCTCGCCACGCCACAGGGCGACGCCTGCTATTAGCATGCTACTGCACAAGACAATATTATTATTCACCTATTGACTTCAAGCACAGATTATAATTTGAATACACTGTCAAAATTAAATCATATCGTTACATTATTTTCATAGGAGCATCAGAACAACTTATGCATTGTACTAGCCTTATAACTTGTCACTACTTACTTAAAACTACACAATTGAATATTGTTGCTATAAAACCTATGCAATAAATGCAGATGTTTATCTATGTCATACTGTCAATTTAAAGAACCAAATTGTCCCCTTCCGCGTCCTTTCCCCGTTCCAAACGCAAGAAATCGACATAACGTCAACAAGCACAATACAAACGTCAACCCAGTACGAAGGACGGCTACTTTGCTAGTTTATTATACATCACTACATCACTATATGCTGTGTATATATTTTGTTACTATAAGATAATTAGACTGATTTAACCTAAAAAATATAAAAAAAATTGTCTGACCATTTTACTCCAAATCTCACAGTTGGGCTGATTTCTTTTTATTTGCTAATTCTCGTAACCAGACATATTCCGGCTATTTTATATGTTAACTGAAAACATAGAAAATAGGAGAAATATCTGTTCAATGTGTGTTCTAACTTTAAAGGTTGTAAAATTTAATATCCTTGGTTTGTCCTTAACCAGTTTCTTTACCCATGCGTCACAACCAGGTGAGGTTGCAGAATAAATCATGTGATTTTATAAACCCTCTGCAGAAATCAGCTGCGCACTTTACATACTCTTGACTATAGAAACAATGATCAACTGAATGACTTGGCCTTAAGTAATTATCTTCTGTTGAACTCATTCAGATATGACAGAGATATGGCACGAGCTTGAAAAGCTACAACATAGGACGCCCATGTGGCGTAAGTTGAAATGTTTGCTGCAGACGCTGTAAGTTGATGAGTTTTTTGATCTGCCTTTTTGTAAAGTTTCAGCCAAGTCAGTTCAACCTTTTTTCTGCTCACCAGGTGACAAACAGAACGTACTGTAGGTAGAAGCCATATGTATATTATAATTTTTCACTGTTAGTAGGTATTAAAATAATTTCCTATTTAGTTTGGCCATATTTTAAAATGATAATGTATACTTTACTCCAGATACGTTTTCCAAATGATTATTGGTGAATGTAAATTTTATCGTACATTAAAATTCCAACCCAAGAAATCATTATTCCTAGTCGTTTTAATTTAGGGACTTTGACTTACTTAAGAAATTTGTGTTCAAATGAAGTCACATAGCATAAGGACCTCATTTAATTTCATAATGCCATGGTTTCGAAACAAGACTATTCTTTATGTCCTAAAAGCAATATTATTTTAGTGTCTCAAAACTCCCATAACTAGATTAATTAAGGAGTTTTATGATTTTCAAGTCTCATAATGTCTACGAATGTGCAAAATAATCGAATAATTTTGTGATATCTAAAACCAACCTAACTTTATTGGTTTGGAATATTACGAGACTTTATAAAATCGCGGGCATTATCGAACGCTCCCAACCGCTCCCAACAAATAATATATTTTCTCTTTTATGATCATACAACAAAAATTGTAGATAATTTAAAATATTTAAGAAATCATAGTGTTAAATTGTTAACTATCTTTATTGTACTAATGTACGGTTCTGGTACAGTATATGGAGGCGGTGATCCTGCAAGGGGGACAAGGGGGGGCACATGGGTGACGTCACGCAGGTGGCGGCGGCGACGGCGGAGAACTCTGCAGCGCTCAGTCTGTGTCAAGACTTAGACGCGATCAGTAGGCGGAGTCGGGGTGTGTGTGAAAGTGCGCGAGTGATACAACAATACACCGCTGCATGGCGATCTGACAAGGACTAAATACCATGGCCACGGGTAAGTTGTATCTCTATAATACTGTATGTGTAACTCATATCGTAACTACTGTAGAGAGACTTCGGTGGAGTCGACCGTTCAAGTCTCCTGCCGAGGTGCGCTCAAATAAATCTGGTAGATAGAACCAGCTAGATACAAGATTGCATGGAATACAAAACAACTAAGCTATAGAGAGGTGTTTTGCAAGATGTTTTTTTTTTATATTTTCATTAGTCACAATGTAAATGAATTATGTACCGGTAGTTTATTTTTGTGTTCTACCGGTGAAAATGCGTTAATTTTATTAATCTAACCAGAGTCTTTTTTCACTAGTGATTTTTTTTTAACAAGCTTATGGGAAACGGATACGAACAGAAATTTATTAAAAGTGCAGTTTTGCAAAATAGTTTAAAGTAATGAATAATCCAAAATTTATACCCGAAAATATTGAAAACTATTTGTACCGAAAAATTTCGCGAAATAACCCACAACCAATAAAGTAATTTTAAACAACGTTGAATCACATCACCTTATTTTAAACTACTTTTCATACTATTTATTGATCATTTACGATTAATAAATTAACTACATGATTATCTGTTAAATCTAAACTTTTACCTCATCCGTAGTTAAAAAGAAGTTCGGATAAGCTCTATAGGGGTTACGATTATCAAACTTTTTGTTTTGTAGTCCATAAAAATTAAACAAAACTAAAGAATCGCATCGAAATCCAACAAATTTGAACTAGTTATAACTTTTTAATTTGCACTGATAATCATGTATGACATCATAAACGACTTGTTGTGACGTAATCACGTCTGCAAGTCTCTACGGTTTCTAGATACTATATAGCCTGATCACTTAACGGCTTGGTCGAGATTAAAGATGTAGATTACTGGTTAACTTTGTTCTTTATTACTTTATAACTTTGTAACTTTGTACGTCTTTTGATTACTTTATTAAAACGCCCCTAAATCAAGAGAATCTGAAGCATTCTGTGATGCAAACTCACAGTTACTTACCTAATTGGAAGGTGTGAGTTTAAGGGAATTCTTAATTTTGGTGTACAACTTTAAAGATTTAAAAGTATTCAATCCAGTTAACCCAACCGGTATGGAGATCAATCGTTGCATTATTTTGTCTCTTAGTGCAATACCAAATAAAACACTGAATATTGAATTATGAAATATTAACTTACCTACTTCAATATTTTAAGTGGTCTGTCAATTCTCTTTCACGGTTATTTTTTACAGCAACTGACGTATTTTCCTCAAAATTATAAAAGAGGAACACATATAATAGAACATATCACAAAATTAATGCCATTAATGTTAACCCTTTTCTAGTAAAGGGATAATCGTTCTTCATTCTATCGCCAAACACCCATATCAAATGTAGGTAGCACGTAATTACTGCGATAGATCAATCCCCAAAATACTTTAGCGTAGGTAACCGAAACTTGAAGTGAAACCATAATGTTTAATAAAAGTGCAATAACATTTTAGGTTTTTAATATCCTTAGTAAACAAATGAAGATGGGATAGTCGATATGATTTTTGTCTAGAATTTGATGTTTTTTAGTGTCCATAAAAATACATTAATATTTCCCACAAAACTACAATGCAACAAAACATATTCCTTAAAACCTTATTTTTGTTGTTTAGGGAATTCCATATTGGTCTATTAAGATGTTTACAAACATTAGGACAGTAATTATCTTGATATAAAACTAATATAGTTCTAGAATTGTATACTTTAAGAAAATGGTTATAAATTCGACTATAAATTCGACTTTTATTCGTACAAACAATTTTTAAATGGAAAATGCAACAAAATATTATCCTTAAGCCTAACATATAGTACTTTTATATTTGACATAAGCCTAGGTTTATTGCATATAAAAAAATTAAAATTAAAATTCTTATATAATATTAAATAAAATTAATTTAACTCAGCAACTTTTCTTAACTTTTAATTTATAAAAAATGTCGATCAAGTAATATAAAGAATGCGTACGTTAGTCAAATGTCTATATTTATTTTTGTTTACTTGCATCTAGGACTATAAGCGTTACTTGCTCCCTTCTAAGATCTTCTAAAATTGCCTACAATGATATGATGAACTACTTTTTAACAACCTTTAGACATACACAGTCATACTCAATACCTTCCTGCTTGGGCAACGTTCGTGGAGTATTGCCTACATGAAATGACTACTCATTGTATGTGTGAGAATTTCATCTTCTCATACACCATTTGGCCGGTTCGGTATAATGGTGTGAGAACATTACAATGCAAATGGATGAGTTATTTCATAATTGGATAATCCCGGAATAACAAATTGTTTTAATTTTGCGAACTTCCTTTTGTAACGGATCATAATTACACAACCCATTTAAGTGTCTCGCAGTCCCCTGCTTGCTAAAACTAGTTTTTGGAATGATAATTTATGTAATAGCATACTTTTTGACAAAGTGACTTTCAATCATTTCAAATTCAGAGTAGATATCACATTGACTATGCAAAATCTCTAAATAAGCATTTAGTTTAAAATTAAACATTACGCGCACAAAGTCACGCATTAAAACTCCAAACACATTTTGTGATAAGTAAGCTATTAACACCAGTCCTTAATAGTAAAAAGTATCCAAGTAGGTTATTATAAAACAATAGGTAAAAGTTTAACTTTAAAAATTTAGCGAGTGAGCTGTTAAAACAATTAGCTATTCTGCTTAAAACAAAATGTTTTTAAAACGTTTCAAATTACTCAATGACTATACTGGCAGTAAAAAGTAGTTGCATTTAACTTCAATAACTCATTGCAAACGTCGCATAGGCCACATTTCTCAAACAAAAGTACAACGTTTACACAAAAGAATGGATGAGTTAAGTTTTGCGTACAGTGGTAAAACATCTGTTCAATCTGTGTACTCTCCATTTCCAATCCCAACCCTCGAACAATCGAATCCGCCGATCCAGAGCTTGTCATCGTCGTTTTTGTTTGGGCCCTGGACGAAAGAAACTGCGGGAAGGAACAGTCTTGTTTAATTGTGGCGGGAGAAAGTAGGAATCTAGAGCGTCTGCGGCGACTTTCCTCACTCCGGCCCTCTCCATCTTGTGGACTAATCCTTTCGATTTCCGGAGCAAGGATTTGCCCCCGCTGAAAGGGAAAAGGTGCGGTAGGTTAGGGCTATATAGTAACTTTCGTTATCAATCAAAACCTGACTACTCCCAACCCTTAGCGATAAAAGCGAACTCTCTTCTGCAACTTACGGTAACAGACCTGTCGCCCAGGCATTACACTTGCGACAACGACAGGATTCTACATATTGGACGACGAGTTTCAGTTAATTCTGAGTAAAAAAAGTCAGTTCTACTTACATAGATATATACAGCTAAATGTTTTGTAAGGTTGTTGGTTGATGGTACTAGGGACATTTCAGCTATACAACCTTGCATTATGACTCAGGGCCAAAAGAAGTCTGATGAGGTCATCTTATAAACATTTGCATAAACGTGTTCTTAGAATTATCTTCTAACATACAGCGTTTTGTTGTGGTTAGCTTGGCCTTGCTTGACTACATGTATAAAATTATGAAAGTAATTTGAATGCATGTTTAAATTTTTGCTTCCATTCATTATTTTATAGAGTTAAAAGACCCCTAAAATGTAATATACAAGCACAGCTCTGTATAAACATACACCATATTTTGAAACTACCTGGACATCACGCTTAATTTACTCTTAATTAATCTTTTTTCACAAAATCGACGTATCTCTAATAACAGGAACTTTAAAGTTAATTTGTCATACAGTTTTGAGTACAATTACATCGTATGGATATCAATTCTAAAAAGCTCTGCGTTTCATGTAACATTTTTTTTAATTGAAAACCTTTGATCAATTATTTATGCTAATTCTTAAAAAAATATCATAAAATGTGTCGTTCATTAGTTCCTTGTCTTAACGACCTTTACGTAACCAAATATAAAATAGTAAGAAGACACTTTGATTCGTTAAAGATACGTTTACTGTAATTACAAAAAAAAATTAGAAGAATGCGGAGTGAAAGACAATTAAAAATAAGGATAGGGGCAGAGAAAGCCACACATCCTCGTTGAAAGATAGGTTTAATCGCAAAGGCAATCTACTACGCGAGATGAGCGGGAGATGCCCAGATGAAACATCTCTCTGTGGATTTCAGGGGCAACACACCATTTCGCAAAGTAAATGACTCGGAAAAGTTGGCGTTTGTGTCAAAGATACCGCCCCTCAGTCTCAGGTAGACCAGCTATTGTGAAAGGTGTCGCTTATGTCTCGTGGTCCCCATGGGGGGTGTGATGTAAATAGTGGGGGAGAAAACACCCTAGGCTGTGGGTCAATGGGGAATCACCCTTAAATCACCTGTTAGCCGACCCACATACAAATCCTACCTGCAATTTTTTGTCGCAATAGAACCAGATTCATTTCACTCTGACTGGGCAGATGTGACCCACGTGTTCTCAAGATTGTACTGTGGCTGTTTACTTCTACAATATGGAGAAAAAAGCTATGATTTTAAGACAATTTCTAGTTTGATCTAAAGGCAATGTAAATGCACCGGAACACCAGGTTGGAAAGAAAGCGGTCCTAGGATAGAACCCCTTGGTGCACCTGTGATGACTTCCGCACAACAAAAGGCGTTCCGCCCCGTGAACATCGCCTCAATGTTGTTCCACCATGTCCCGCACCAGCCGTGTACAAATTTTAGGCTCCAGCATTACATATTCTGTATTCTGTATATTAAAAATCCTTTCTGTTGGCCTAATATTACTATTAAATTTTATCTCTTAAACTACAATTGGAGTCCAATAATCTTTATAGAAAGTTAAGTTCTGGGAAAAGGAACATTTGCTGGTAAACCCTCGTAAGCTCGCATGCACATAAAATAGCGAGTTTCACAAGTCTTACGGGTTTTATCCTTGTTCTTTTAATTCATCAATCATTTTTTTATAAAGGCTCATACAAGTAACATACATTAAT